AGTATATTTGCACAAATATTTCCTCGTCATTTCACTTCTAATGCAATATTTTAGTGAATTATTCGCTATACGTGAATAATGCTACTCTGCTGTTTTCAAGATAAGTTTATTGGAAAGTGCCTAACAACTGCAATTATGCAGTGGTAAACGACTATTCAGAAAGCATGAGAAAGAAGAGAAAAGAATAACTTATTATTGGTCTTAGTCTTTTTTTTTAAGAGATTTAGTTTATTTTTTAAATTATTTCAAGGTGGTAGTTTAAAATGGCATAATTTCTGATAATATTCTGATACAATTTTTCCTTTGTAAAACGCATATTAAGAATGAATATTTATATCAAGTGACGTGTGCTACAATTTTGGTATTTTAAATAAAGTAATTTTTTTTGACAGCAGTACTGGGGAAGGTAACAGTGCATTTGTTAAGTATCCATCTTTTTGAAATGCTCTATTTTTATTTTCTCAAAAAAAAAACTTTTCTGTTATCTTTCTTTTGTGTTAAATAGACCTTAGTTTTTTACCTCGAAAAAATTGACAAGAATAATTTATGATAGCATTTTTTTCTTTGGGTAACAACTAGTTTAGTTTTTTTTTTTTGATGGTAAACAATTTTTTTCTTATAGCTGTTAGTTAATGACAGTAATGCTCGATTTTTGAACGACAAAATTAGTTCCAGTTTTTGAATAAAATCTTCTTGTAGCGGTACTCTCAATTACAAGTTACACTGAATGCACAAAGTCTTTGTGTAAACATAGTAATATTTTAATACCGTTTATGATACTCAAGTAAAGTGATAAAAATTGAATTGAATAAACACTAAGATAAGCAAATAAATAAACAGTTTTGGCTATTGATGTAAATCTGATTATTTTTTATTATTATTTTTTTTTTGTGTATACCAATAATCAGTATTTATAAGTGATATTAACATTTGATGTTTATGATGATAATTTGTTAAAATGTTCAATACTTTATAGTTGCTCACAACAGAAGTAGAGCAAAAACTTGTGACTGTAGAAGGTACATAAGCAAAAATTATGATAGTAATAGTGCTGTTTTTTCTGTTTCTTCTGTTTTTTATTTGACTAAAAAATAGTGAGAATTTTTTACAATTCATGAAAGCATGTGTTCCATTAATAAACAGAAGAGTAAATATTGTAAACGCTACTAAGAAATTTTAAAATTTGTATTTTTTCTATGCAGTGACTGCATTAAAACTCTATAATCAAAAAACAGCGACAACAGCTTTGGTCAGCAAAAATTTTTTCTAATTTTTTTATTTACTCGTTCTGATCATAAACAATTCAAATTTTACAAACTTTGGATTAAATTACTTGCTGTCGATATTCACCAAATTATGAGTCAGCTGTAACAGCAGTCTATTTTTACTTTATTACGAAAATGACATTTACATATGACATCTTTCAGCAAAAAGAAAACAAGGAAGGTTTTTTAACCGCAAAAAAGTCTTGTGTTTTAAAGAAAAAATTTTATCAATAATGCTGTTCAAAGTCCACTGTTAAAAATGTCTAAGTTGAAATTAAATGACAAGTTGTATATCGTTGTATCTTTGGCTAATGCTTACTGAAGTGAACAATGCAAATAGAACGGTATTTGAGTAGTACAGCTCAGTTATCATTGACAAAATATTTTCTTCTAAAACTGAAATATTAAAGGCCGTAAAAAAAAAACTTTTAGGCTTTATGACCTGCTGCTAAGTAATATATCCAATAAACTTTCTCTACTAAGCAAAGTACTTTGCTTTAAACATCACGAAACAACAAATTGTTTAATTCTAGAAATACTTTTACAGTCTGCATCAATAAGCAATCGTTGTGTAAAAATTCACACATATAACACTTTTTATTTTTTCTCGTAGATCGCATAAGCAAATTTTGCATGTGAACATACGTATCAACAAAATTCCTGACCAAACTTCTGGTACATATAATTCAACACATCTTAAAACCTTTATTTATCTTTTGTTTATGTGTAAGCGTTATTGTTATTGTCTGCTTGTCTCATACTCTATAACTTATCATTAAGCCTGTAAAAGTTAAGATCACTTATAAAAGTAAATGTTTTTCGACAATCTTTAAAGGCTGTACAAAATAGTTCAACCTAAACTAGAATTTTTCTATACTTCTCACTTTGACAATAATCTTCTGTATTACGGTCAGTGAAATTGTGAACTTGGTGTCAGTTGAAGATGCAGTTTCAAAATTTTCACTACTGCTTAAACTTCATATGAATCACACCAAATAGTTCAGGTCCTTTATTTTAAAAACAGTTGCTCTTTGACTTGTACACATCTTGCTTTTCTGTAGAAAAACATTTAATTATTCTTAGGTTACAAAAAAGCATTTTTTACCGTAAAATCTTTTCTGCCTAAAAGCTATTCTGTCGAAAAATTGTGAAAACCATTTTGGCTTCAGGTTCATGCTAAACCCGTTAAATTAAATTGTTTATGGCGCCTGAGTTCGTGGTTTTTAGTGTAAGATCGGTGACGAAGATTTTCAAGTAAGACTTCTTATGACTTTTCGTTAAGGATATCTGTTGAGCATAACGACTGCACTTTGAAACAAGTATTTTTTCCTGATTTTTTTTTCGTGTGTTTAGCTAGCCGCTAACAACTTTCTAGAAGATATTCTCTTACATTTTAAACTTTTAGTTTTAAAGTGTGTCTTCAAAATTTGGTTATTTTTTCAAAAAGTCACTTTTATTTTGATGTGTACAATAGAAAGTTAATTAAGGATTAAACTTTGATGTTTCAGGTAACAGGAGAAAAAGCCTCTGAAAATTAAACCTGGATGTTTCAAACAAAAACTGCATAAATGTTTTTTTTTAAAAACTCTTTAGGTTAATTAAGTAAAGACTGAACTTTGTATGCAAAAAGTAGCCAATAAGAGGAGCAAATGCAGAATCTTTCAAAATATCGCTATGAATTCAATAGCCTTCGAAGCCGATTGCAATACCGAAAGTTTCCTAACTAACACTGCTATTCATATAGTACTGGCATTCAATCCAAATGTGCTTAAGAATAATATGCGATTAAGAGCAATATTTATGACATAATTTATATGTTATCAGCAAATATATTGATGAAAACTGATTTGGGGCAAAAGATATACATTCTAGATTAATCAAGAGACTGAAGCATTTAAAGTAAAGAATTGAAAAAAAAACAACAAATATAAGTTTTTTTGATTTCTTATCACATTTACCGCAAAATTATAGAACAAAAAGTACTGCTTATTATTTTTTTCTTACAATCTGCTTCTATTAGCTATTCGTCTTCTTCCTCTTCTTTTTTTTTTAAAGAATCTCATTAAGCAAAAGTTTATTGTCTATTTCAGCAGGAGACAGCTGAGAGGATGACAACCTTGGTTTAACGATATAACAAGTTCCTTTTTTACACATGTTAGGTAGGTTTAAAAATAGTACTGTTTTTTTCAAGTTTTACAAAAAATTTCTCTGCGGCATAAGATAAATAATGTTCTTCTTGAGTTTGTTAGATGACGGCAATTTAAGTTTTGTAGCGGAGATATGGAACGAAAATTAGAAAGAACTTTGTCACAATGTTTAATCAAAACATTTTCAAAAGCCATAGTTAGAAATTATACTGTTTGTTTGGTGACGTATTAACAAGTCTGTATATTATAACTTTACTGAATTTGGTGAATTCATTACGGGAGTAACCTGTTGCCATAAAATAACAATTGCCTTGATAGAACTAAAAGAAACACGCCCAACACTATTGAATTGGAACCATGTAATTCTTCTCTCTAAAGAAACCAAAATGCATCCCGTTTTGCCAACTAGTCAAAAATCACCGTATTTGCTTGTTCCAGACTTGCCGTTACCTTCAAAATAAATTAAGTATTATTTTTTTCGAGCTTATTGGAAAATTTTAGATACAAAAATGTATTTTATTACTTACCTAACACCTGTCGTGTTTTGCAGAATTTTTTTATACTCAGTGATCGAAAGTCTTTAGCGCAAGGTGTTTTTAACTTTGTAAGGCAATGCCAAAACTTAATTTATCATAAAGACCTAAAATAAAATCTACCTCAAAAAACAATTCTTTCGAAATTGGCAACAAAAACACTAATTAAATTTCAAGACTTAGCATTAAGATAAAAGCTGAAAGCTGTTGTTTATGCAATTTTTCTGCCTTCCCATTTCATTGCAAAGACGATCCCAAACCGCTGCTGACTGACAGCCTAACACAGAAATGCGAATTGGAAATTTGCATCAGCCAAAAATAATTTAACAGTCATCAACTGACTGTAGCATTAAACATAGGATAATTATCTGAATATCATAGCAAAAATTATCATTTTAATTGTAATTAGTTCGTGTACCATGTGACACATTTAATAAAATCGGCTGATTATTGAAATCAGGCTCATCTACCTAGTTTTCGCGTCACTTAAGCTGTGAGTGTCAGCTCTTAAATGTTCAGAAAGTGCTATATCACGGTTCTTTTTAAATCTTTGGTTTAGAACTCATAATTCAGTTCTTATTCTTTCCAAAATACAGTTTTCATAAAGAAATTGTGAACAGAAATTGTCCACTTCAGTTTTACTGCTCAATTTAAGTTGAAGGGAGCACTCCTGTAAAGAAAATCTTATCAGTACGCTTTCCTGTTAGCAAAGTCTTTAAGTTTACTGATTTACAGGAATTTCTACTTTTTATCTTCCGGGAACCTTAGAATACCAATTTCTGCAAAAGCAATTGATGTGACGGATCACAGGTCTTAGCCCCTCGCCTTTCATAACAATTTATAGAAACAGCATTCTGACAATTACTATATCGTTGATAAACAGTTTATTAATATCTAGGAAGAAAAATCGTTACACTTATGATTTAAATAAAGCCATAAAAGAGCCCAGTAAAACGTCCTTTGCAACTTCAATAATAGTAAAAACAAAATTTGAGTGCAAAAATGATTTATATTTACTAAGTGTAAAAAACCTCATTGTTTTTTTTTCTGTATAATCAGTAGTAATGCATATGACGACCATAGAAGTAGGCGAGTCCAACAACAGATAAAGTATTTAGAAGTAGTACAATAAAAATAAAAATATCACTATTTGAAAGTCCAATTAAACCCATTAATCGTCTTGTACCACTAGCACATGTTACCTGAAATATACAAACACAATTCATTCGCCAACAAGATCAGATATTTTTTGTTTGAAAATTCAGGCAACAAAATATGAATAGAAGATACGAAGAAGTGCTGTCGTCATTACACATACATCTGAGTACATAAATCATTAGAGTGTTCCCTTAAACTGTCTTTATCTTTGTCCATTAATACTAAGCAATCAAGCTTCCTATAATTTATTCAGCGACTGGCTGACTGTGTAGAAGTGTAGACTACGAAACCTTAGTAGTTTAGATTAATGTAACCACCTGATCGTACCTGTGTTGCAAGTCTAGCATTTTCAGTTCGGTAGCTCATAAGATCAGCCTTATAACGGCGAAGCTCTTGTTCTAGTCTATTAACTTGCTGTTGCATCTCAGACCGTAAAACTTCCATGTTTTCTTCGCTGGCTGTCAAATCTTTGTTTAGCTGTTCATTTATTTTCAATAAATCTTGATTTCTTTGTCGAAGCTTATCGGCTTTTGTTTCAATAGCTTCAATTCGTTGCGAAATTCCGCTTACTAAAATTTTTCTTCCTGTTTTGACAACGTATAAAGTATTTGTAATAACGATTTCATTATTTCAAAAAAAATAAATAAATAAATAAAATTAAAGAAAAATGAAAAAAGAAGAAATAATAATAAAAAAGGCATTTTTTTCTAAGTTTTGTTTCATTGCTCAAGACTGTAATAGTAAGAATTGAAATCATCGAGTAACACTTAACTTCTGTAACCACGTTATGCAAGAAAACAACACTACCAGCACCACCCCCATTGCCATCCCAACCTGGCCAATTTCATAAGTCAGTGGAACATCTTTTGCAAAGGTAACCAAGCAAGAGCTTGACAAAAGTTGAAAAAAAAATATTTTTTTGTAAATTTTCTTCTTTATTGTTGAAATAGAAAAAAGGAGTCAAAACGTAGAAGAAAAAAGTTATCCAAAATTAACATGCCTTTTTGTACACGCTCATGACCAAATGAGAAATTTAGAAGACTCGATGAAGCACCTAAACAACGACCAAGAATACGCCTCTCCAAAATTTCTGCTATTTATCTCTACGACTAGCAAAAAAAAAAAGTGAAGTAATTTTATCAGAAGTTTCTTGAAGAAAAAACATAAATTATGATAATGCCGAATTGAAAAAGGTATGATTAAAACTTGAATCTTTTACTGCTTCCAGATGATTTTGGTGATGGCGATGCGGTGCTGGGCCGTCTATCCGGTGATGAACTCCCTTCTTTCTGTGAGGCTTTGCCCAGTGGTTGAATTTGTTTGTCTTTACTTTTATAATGTCGTGCTGGAAATAGAAATAAATTTGTTGTTAAACAGCACAAAAAATGATGTCAAAATTTAAAAGAAATTTAAAATGAAAACAAAAAAGAAATATTTCCGAACCAAACAAATGACCAATTCAGGAAGTTGAACAAGTGATTTAAAAAATGTTAAGGATGAGCACGCGGAAAATCTCTACTTTTTTTTTGCAAAATATTGTTGAAATTGTGAACACTTAA